TATGTGAATTTAGATAAAAGTCCAGCGGTTTATTTAACCAAGCGACCATTAGTTTACTTGTGAGGAAGAACGTGACCAGCGGTAAAGTAAAGGGTCGTTACAAGACCAGGAAGACCGAGGAAGATAGATTCTCCTGGCATGGCACTATCCCGTGACCCATGCCGAAGAACTGGAGAGTGGCGGTCCACAGTCTGGCGTGGTTCAGGCTTCGAGAAAACGTCACATGGCGTAGGGTTCCTTCGTCTTATGGCTTTCTTCCGTACGCTACCTTGAACTGTTGTCTTCGCAACGAGGCGTATCACCAGAATATGATCCATGCAACTGAAGTCGTTGTTGCGGCTCAGTTGGATCTCAGTACAATACTTGTGAGACTCAATGGTCAATAGTATCAACAGGGAGTTCTGACTACTGCCGTCGTGCCACATTTAGATAACCTTCCCTTTCTCCGTCGTCCGATATCCATGGATGCAGGGCTAGACCTTACCGTTCTCGAACCGCCACCATTTGTAGAACAACGCCATCGAAACATTAACAATGCCCGAAATGACCCACGATGTGAATCCTTTTAGGTCATCTTGGACGGCAAGTTCTAGCTTGAGATGTTAATATTCAAACTCTGCTGGAATTGAAGCAGGCAGAGGGTTCCGATGCTGAGAATTCAACGCTTGATTGCCAGCATGGGAATGAGACTGGCAGATGTTATTCTTCCGATGCGAGGCTGCACAGCTACTGATGTGGAGACCATTATCATTAATGGAGATCATTATTTCAGAACTGTGTGACATTCAATTGGTGCTGCGATGACCATAGTTTCCAGCATTGTTGATGTTCACGTTTTTGTATTTTCCTCTCAGATTGCAAGTAAATTGTTACCAAATGTTCAGTTCAGTTTTGTTTTTATTTTAATCGATGTTAAATATATTACAGCTACATCTTATTAACCGCAAATTTAGTTTTCAGATAATAAACAACAACATGTAGTATTTTCGTACTTATCATAATAAAAACAATGTAGTTAGTTCTTGGTTAATGTTATATATATACATACGATATATGATAAAGGGGGGCAACCTGTAAAACTGTCGGAGCTTGCGACCATATAATTATTCATACCACTTGCACTGAAACCGTGTCAAATAATAATCTCAACTATTCAATCTATACGGAACTGGCAGTAATACCGGCGTGCACTATAACAAGCCACATTCTCCCAGAGATACTTGTTATCCCTCCAGGTGTACTGAACACAGTTACAGGAATACCAATCCATGGGGAAGCCATCATGCCACCGGAAGCTAGTTAGGGGCTTCCCGGACCAACCCCAAGGCCCGTCACATGACACCACTGTTTGACAGTCTATTCTTCTCGTCCCAAGTAGGCTCTTTCTCCGGTGTGCTGCTCAAAACAAGACAAAATTTCAACTCACATTTGTAACCACTCGCCACTCTCCGTAAACCGGCGAAAAGATTCGCCCCTACCTTGTGCCTGATTCTTGTGACCAGCCACGCAATGTGACTATGGGATGCCTTCATCATACTTTCGTGAGCAAGGGATTTGTGTGTATGTGTGTTGACTATGGGATGTCCTCATCATACTTTTCGTGAGCAAGGGATTTGTGTGTATGTGTGTTGACTTTGAAATGTCTTCATCATACTTTTCGTGAGCAAGGGGAATTTGTGTATGTGTACTGTCTATGGGATGCCTTCATCATACTTTTCTTGAGCAAGGGATTTGTGTGTATTTGAGTTGACTATGGAATGTCTTCATCATACTTTTTTTTGAGTAAGGGATTTGTGTGTATGTGTGTTGACTAATGGATGTCTTCATCATACTTTTCTTGAGCAAGGGATTTGTGTGTATGTGTGTTGACAAATGGAATGTCTTCATCATACTTTTCTTGAGCAAGGGATTTGTGTGTATGGTGTTGACTAATGGATGTCTTCATCATACTTTTCTTTAGTAAGGGATTTGTGTGTATGTGTGTTGACTAATGGATGTCTTCATCATACTTTTCGTGAGCAAGGGATTTGTGTGTATGTGTGTTGACAAATGGAATGTCTTCATCATACTTTTTTTGAGTAAGGGATTTGTGTGTATGTGTGTTGACTAATGGATGTCTTCATCATACTTTTCTTGAGTAAGGGATTTGTGTGTATGTGTGTTGACTAATGGATGTCTTCATCATACTTTTCTTGAGCAAGGGATTTGTGTGTATGTGTGTTGACAAATGGAATGTCTTCATCATACTTTTCTTGAGCAAGGGATTTGTGTGTATGTGTGTTGACTATGGAATGTCTTCATCATACTTTCTTGAGCAAGGGGAATTTGTGTATGTGTGTTGACTATGGGATGTCTTCATCATACCTTTCGTAAGCATGTGATATGTGTGTATGTGTGTTGACTATGGGATGCCTTCATCATACCTTCCTTGAGCAAGGGTAATTTGTGTATTTGTGGTAACTATGGGTTGTCTCGCTGACTTGGTTGACACTTCATTGTACCCAATTGTGTAGATCGAGGGCCATGTTGTTGATCACTGGATTGTCAGGTTCAGACTCGATTATTTACAGACCGCCGCCACATAGCTGGAATACTGCAGTGTTAAACAAACAACCAACCAATATAAGCAAGGCTAATGTGTGTTGACTATGGGGTGCCTTCATCATACTGGTCGTTAGCAAGGGACATATGTGTATGTGTGTTGGCTATGGGACGTCTTCATCATAAGGTTAGTAGGCAAGGAATATGTGTTTTGACTGAGGGATGTATGAAGTGTACTGTACATAAACAGGGAATATGTTGAGTAAGGGATGTATACTAACGGGGAAAAGTAACTGTGCTTAACAAAAAGATCAATAAAATAAACATTATTTGAAAAGTTATAAAACTGCCACTATATAAACATGTAGCAAAGACCTTTGCATGAAATTTGATCTCACTTACCGTACATGGGATGTGTACACCTGATATTGAAAATTGAAGAACGCTTGATTATTCTCTGGCCTCTAAATTTGGTTGAAAACACGTTAATTACAACCGTACTTGCGCGTACAGAAAATCAGCGTCTCCGCGCCGTGGGTATGCTGGAGACTGGAATGGCCCCAAAATGAATTTGTCAGACATCTTGGTGTCTATCGAAACACTATCTCATCTCTATAGAGAGGTTTTCAACACGAGAGAGATTTGCCTCGACCGGCCGTCCACGCGTGCCGTCACGTCAGAAAGACAACCCCATTCGAATGACCCATCTAAGGAATCGATTCCAGACTTTTCATTTGACTGTAGATTGTACTTACATCTACGAAGAACATACTTATATCAACGTATATTGTACTTACATCTACATAGATGATACTTACGTCAACGCAGATTATACTTACATCTACGTAGGTGCTGCTTATCTCCACGTAAATCATACTTAAATCTAGGTAGATGATACTTATGTCAAGGTAGATTATACTTACATCTACGAAGGTGTTACTTATGTCAAGGTAGATTATACTTACATCTACGTAGGCGTTACTTATGTCAACGTAGATTATATTCACATCTACGTATATGATACGTAAATTCATGTATATGAGATTATACTGAATTTAGAAAGATTAGCCATCTGGTATGGAATCATCGACTAGGTACCTTGTCCATGAATAGACAATAGTTGCCTGGTCTGTTATATATTCTCTGGCGTAATAACTAACGCGGTAACCGTCACTGTTATGTGGCTTCATTGAGGCACTTTCTGAATATGAAGTAACACTTCATTCAAATACATTGTATGTCGAAGTGTTTTAATTTACGTTATAAGATTATTTTTATTTTAAACGCTGATAGTTAGAAGTTTTAAATGATTTCTGTAAGTTGTGCAAACAGAAAATAGACATATAAACGTTTTGTCAATTTTTCAAATATTCAAGATATTTGAATGGATTCCTTGTCGGCCATGGTAATGTTTTGATGACGTTGTTCGATGATAGCTCGAGAGTAATGACGTCTAGCGTTGGCTTCCATGAATGTGGAGCGACTGGCAAGGGGATGGTTATCAACATGTGGCACGACGGCGGTATCCAGTGCTTCTTGTTGATAACGTTAACCACTTAGTGTCCCAGGTTCGTAATGAGATCCAACTTGCAGCCATCAACCAAAGGGTTCAACTGTATGGAGTTTCATCACCAATGAACCCGACGCCATTTACCCAAGGAGCCTGCACTGCGTCAGACCTTCCTGTCTGTGTCTGTCTTTCTCTGAGAAAGGGCGTCGGATTACACTTTGCTCAGATCTGCAGCCGACAGTCTCATTTTGATGGTAGTGGTGGAGAGCCGGACTCCCACTCTCACAGGGGTCATGTGTGCGTCTTGCCAGACGATTTAAGACTCAGTCATCTTGGTCAATGGTCTTCCTCGGTCTTTAGATCTTGGAAGATCCTTTATCTCACCAGTAGCCAGGTGCTTCGTAACAAGTCGTCTAATAACCGTGTGATTACTGTTAAGTCCGCACCGATGTTACAAAAAGACATCCCTACGTCAATAGCTTTCTGTCATGCATTATCCGAAAGTCTACGTCTTGCCATGTCAAGGAACGTAAATATTTACTACTGGTTTTAAACAGTTCCGAGAACTTTGGTGCACATACTGCAATTACGAAACGTTGATAAGGAGTATGCTTCATCGAATGCTATGTTGTCTTGAGAATAGAAGCGGATTTACGCGATATTAATGCGTTTCCCTTTTCGTGTGACACTATTGAACTGTTTATCTCATTAAAGATAATATACACCAACAGTTGTGTACCATTTCTGTTGAAATTCCCCTAAGGTTGTTAATGGTATGATATCATGAATGGAGATGAAAATATAGTCTACTTTGATGAAAGTATCTTCTATGTAGACGTAAGTATTATCTTCATACATGAGAGAAAGATGAGTGAGTGAGTGAATAAATGGGTGACTGAGTAAGTGAGTCAGTGATATGACACATATTTCTTATGACCTGACCACTTACTCTGCTTTGCCACAACCTTGACGTAGAATTCATGTTTTATGTCACTGTCAACATTAAACATGGTACCATTTAACGCTCTGCAATCGTTTAAAGCTGTGATCCAGACCGTCACCTTTGACATCTTCCTGTAGCATATGTCACCCATCTCCCAGTAGCTGTGACCAAGGCGTCGACACTGTACAGCTGAAACACAGAGTTGACGGGCGGCTTATAAATATCTACTGCGAGGCGAAGAAAATGGCAAACACGTGTGTTTAATAATGGTTACAAATGATACCAACAAGACATGTACATCTGTATCCGGGTGTACTTGATACGGGTGTATTCGTTTTGTTTATAGTCTTCAGGGTGTTTGAGCACTTGTAGAGTGTTTAGAATGATATGTGTTTTGAGTGCTATCAGAAAGTATGTTTACAATGATATGGTAAGGAGTGCTATCAGAAAGTATCAGAAAGGTCTACCCCACCCTTCGAGAAGGTGACAGAATATCTGCCAGGACAATACCTCACCCTTCAAGAAGGTGACAGAATATCTGCCAGGACAATACCCCACCCTTCAAGAAGGTGACAGAATATCTGCCAGGACAATACCCCACCCTTCGAGAAGGTGACAGAATATCTGCCAGGACAATACCCCACCCTTCGAGAAGGTGACAGAATATCTGCCAGGACAATACCTCACCCTTCAAGAAGGTGACAGAATATCTGCCAGGACAATACCTCACCCTTCGAGAAGGTGACAGAATATCTGCCAGGACAATACCCCACCCTTCGAGAAGGTGACAGAATATCTGCCAGGACAATACCCCACCCTTCAAGAAGGTGACAGAATATCTGCCAGGACAATACCCTCACCCTTCGAGAAGGTGACAGAAGGTGACAGAATATCTGGGCCACCCTTCGAGAAGGTGACAGAATATCTGCCAGGACAATACCCCACCCTTCAAGAAGGTGACAGAATATCTGCCAGGACAATACCTCACCCTTCGAGAAGGTGACAGAATATCTGCCAGGACAATACCTCACCCTTCGAGAAGGTGACAGAATATCTGCCAGGACAATACCCCACCCTCGAGGAGGTGAGAAGGTGACAGAATATCTGCCAGGACAATACCTCACCCTTCGAGAAGGTGACAGAATATCTGCCAGGACAATACCTCACCCTTCAAGAAGGTGACAGAATATCTGCCAGGACAATACCTCACCCTTCAAGAAGGTGACAGAGTATCTGCCAGGACAATACCTCACCCTTCAAGAAGGTGACAGAGTATATGCCAGGACAATACCCCACCCTTCGAGAAGGTGACAGAATATCTGCCAGGACAATACCCCACCCTTTGAAGAAGGTTCTGCCAGGACAATACCTCTCCCTTCGAGAAGGTGACAGAATATCTGCCAGGACAATACCTCACCCTTTGAGGAGGTGACAGAGTATATCTGCCAGGACAATACCCCACCCTTCAAGAAGGTGACAGAATATCTGCCAGGACAATACCCCACCCTTCAAGAAGGTGACAGAATATCTGCCAGGACAATACCCCACCCTTCGAGAAGGTGACAGAATATCTGCCAGGACAATACCCCACCCTTCAAGAAGGTGACAGAATAAGAAGGTGACAGAGTATCTGCCAGGACAATACCTCACCATTCAAGAAGGTGGCAGAATATCTGCCAAGACTTTACCTCACCCTTTGATGAGGTCACAGAATATCGGTCAGGCCGATAACCCACAATTCTTGGGAACTGAATTGTTGAGGGAAATTATCAGTCAAATCTACAGAATATAACCCCATTATCTACTCGTTTTATCTCGAAAGCCACCTAAAATGTTAAGTGTTTTTGTCATTGGCTCGGATGCCATAGGTCATTGTCTAGTTCATCACTTCTCGGATCAGGATTCGATTATGTAAAAGCCGTCCTGATGAGATGGAATATTGCAGGCGTGGAGATGAACACCTTGGATCTATTTACCTTTCGGATTAATGGTCGTTACAGGAAGAATGTCCTCCTCATCTCCGTGGACATCGTAGCATTTGCCTGTCTGTCGAGAGTAGTGGCGACTCTGGACTCTGCAGACTTGGGCTGAAGCGTGTAAAATAATGTAGCCTCACCAATAGGATAAAAATTGCTCGGTAAAACCTCTTCAATCTGGACAGCAACATTCTATGTGATATATAATATACTGAAGGAAACAAATAAGGGAACACCAATTCATCCGAGTGTTCCTTTATATTTTAGCAATGTTTCGCCCACAATGCAACATAAAGTTCGCGATGAAACCTGGAAAAGAATAAAGGAACGGTTGTACTTTAATGTGTTCCCTTATATATTTCCCTCAGTATATGTTCTGTGACTGCGTAAAGCCCCTTGCAATACCGTCACTGTGCGGATGAATGGATGCCCAGTCTGCTTCCCTGTATCCGAGTATTGTCCTATAAAATATACCCAGTTCTACATGTCACTGTGCGGATGAATGGATGCCCAGTCTGCTTCACTGTATCCGAGTATTGTCCTATAAAATATACCCAGTTCTACATGTCACTGTGCGGATGAATGGATTCCCAGTCTGCTTCCCTGTATCCGATTATTGTCCTATAAAATATGCCCAGTTCTACATGTCACTGTGCGGATGAATGGATGCCCAGTCTGCTTCCCTGTATCCGAGTATTGTCCTATAAAATATGCCCAGTTCTACATGTCATTGTGCGGATGAATGGATGCCCAGTCAGCTTCCCTGTATCCGAGTATTGTCCTATAAAATATGCCCAGTTCTACATGTCACTGTGCAGATTGTAACAGTCGGGAATGTGGGTTCACTGTATGTCTAACTTTGTAGGACATCCGATTTCTAAACTCATGTTCGGTCACTTGAGGACATCCTTTTGGACTCTACACAGTATCTACTTAGGGGGCTTGCGGGTCAGAATATAGGCCTTCAGCAACCCATACATAGGCCTGTCCTGAGAGTGAGTTTAGTTTTACGCTGCTTTTAGCAATATTCCAGCAATATCACTGCGGGGGACACCAGAAATGGGCTTCACGCATTGTACCCATGGCGGGGATTCGAAGCCAGGTCTTCGGCGTGACGAGCCAACGCTTTAACCACCAGACTACCCCACCGCCCCACCTGTCCAAATAGCCAGGTCAGAATTGATCTAGTGATTAGTCTCAGTGATTGAGCTTGTTGCAAGTCATCTTATCACACATATACAGGGCTGTATCCTCTATACGATATATAGATGCATAGTGCTGAATGAGGTGTTAAACAATAAAACAAGCAAACAATGATAAAATGATAGTTGTATTTTGTCCAGGTAAATGGTTATTTTCAATATTCCCCTACCTTTTGAGTCAAGGTATAACTTTAACCCTCCTTTCTTTATATACTGATCCTTCATTAAGGACGTATATACTTCCGGGTGTGGGTAACAGGTATGGCGGGCGTGGTCGTAGAGGAAGGCCACACAGCTAGTGTCCATTGCACACCACTGTCCACATTGGACAGCGGAACACGACACGTTCAGTGGCCGGACGTCGTGGATCAACACATTCTTCACTGCTAAGATAAACTTGATCACATCTATAGCAAAATGCATCTTGAACTCTTTTTGTGGCAAGGACTTGATGTTTGTTTTAGAATAACTTCAGACTCAGCGCGTTTCAGGGTGAGCTTTGTCCAATAACACAGAACTGTATTTGAACGTCACTATAGCATTCAAATTAAGTTTATTCATTATTCATGACTCGACATTCTCTACCAACTTATGTTTCAAGGTAGTGTTCAATTTCACTTATAGGTCTTCATGCCCCATTATGTAGTGATAGCAACTGGCATATTTCTACTGGAAACATGTCTGTCATCTGTTGTGACTGTCCCTGGGATCTAATGCATGTTAACACGCTAGGCTTAAGGGCCATTGTTGCATGCTGCAATCTGATTCGTTGAAAACATTAATCAATGGAAATTAATCCAAGAAACATACAAATACCCTTTGTTATTTGTGTTTGGAAACTATCTACCATTCGGCTTTACAAAAGTGACGGCACGCTGAACTGGTGTCAGGTTTTGATATTTATCAGTTTATTTTCTCACTTTCTAACTCCGATAAACTCGTTTATCATCCAAAATTGAGTCCCACAGTAGATGTTGCTTGTGTGGGCTGTCCTTTTCACAGTAGATTTTGTACAATGCCCTGATAATACTATGACGTCGTGAACTTGTTGACGTCACAATGCTATGACATCGCTTCACTGCAAGTCTAATGGAAGTACCGTGTTCAGAGATGTACATTTTTCATTGAAAACTAATGAAAAGTGATTTTTGCTGATAAATAGAATCTCACCCTCGTGTCTTCTGATATCAAATATATCAACGCTCGTTGATAAAAGTAAAAATATCCTCGGCAAGCCTCGGATATTTGTAACTTTATCAACTCGTGGTGATATATTTGATATCAAAAGACACTCGGGTGAATTCTCTCTGTATTAGGTTGGTATAAAGGGGTACTGTTTTTGTTTCTTGTTTATTAACGCAACACAATACTCCATCCTTGTTTGTGTCTTGTTGAATGATATGGCTGCCACGTGCACCATCCGGATATATAGAAATAGACATCCTGGGATCACTGCGGGAGAACCAGCCAGTACGTCCCTCACCTCACCATCACCTCACCACTATAACCTGACAGCGTGGCACATGAAACATCACTTCACCACTATAACCTGACAGCGTGGCACATGAAACATCACCTCACCACTATAAACTAACAGCGTGGCACATGAAACATCACTTCACCACTATAACCTGACAGTGTGGCACATGAAACATCACCTCACCACTATAACCTGATAGTGTACTGTGGCACATGAAACATCACCTCACCACTATAACCTGACAGTGTACTGTGGCACATGAAACATCACCTCACCACTATAACCTGACAGTGTACTGTGGCACATGAAACATCACCTCACCACTATAACCTGACAGCGTGGCACATGAAACATCACCTCACCACTATAACCTGACAGTGTGGCACATGAAACATCACCTCACCACTATAACCTGACAGTGTACTGTGGCACATGAAACATCACCTCACCACTATAACCTGACAGCGTGGCACATGAAACATCACCTCACCACTATAACCTGACAGTGTGGCACATGAAACATCACCTCACCACTATAACCTGACAGCGTGGCACATGAAACATCACCCTCACCACTATAACCTGACAGGGTACTGTGGCACATGAAACATCACCTCACCACTATAACCTGACAGTGTGGCACATGAAACATCACTTCACCACTATAACCTGACAGCGTGGCACATGAAACATCACCTCACCACTATAACCTGACAGTGTACTGTGGCACATGAAACATCACCTCACCACTATAACCTGACAGTGTACTGTGGCACATGAAACATCACCTCACCACTATAACCTGACAGCGTGGCACATGAAACATCACCTCACCACTATAACCTGACAGTGTGGCACATGAAACATCACCTCACCACTATAACCTGACAGTGTGGCACATGAAACATCACCTCACCACTATAACCTGACAGCGTGGCACATGAAACATCACCTCACCACTATAACCTGACAGCGTGGCACATGAAACATCACTTCACCACTATAACCTGACAGCGTGGTACTGACTGACGGTGTGGCACATGAAACATCACCTCACCACTATAACCTGACAGCGTGGCACATGAAACATCACCTCACCACTATAACCTGACAGTGTGGCACATGAAACATCACCTCACCACTATAACCTGACAGTGTGGCACATGAAACATCACCCGCACCACTATAACCTGACAGTGTGGCACATGAAACATCACCTCACCACTATAACCTGACAGTGTGGCACATGAAACATCACCTCACCACTATAACCTGACAGTGTGGCACATGAAACATCACCTCACCACTATAACCTGACAGCGTGGCACATGAAACATCACCTCACCACTATAACCTGACAGCGTGGCACATGAAACATCACCTCACCACTATAACCTGACAGTGCGTGGCACATGAAACATCACCTTCACCACTATAACCTGACAGTGTGGCACATGAAACATCACCTCACCACTATAATGACAGTGTGGCACATGAAAGCGTGGCTATATAACATGTGGCACATCACCTCACCACTATAACCTGACAGTGCTGTGGCACATGAAACATCACCTCACCACTATAACCTGACAGTGTGGCACATGAAACATCACCTCACCACTATAACCTGACAGCGTGGCACATGAAACATCACCTCCGCACCACTATAACCTGACAGTGTACTGTGGCACATGAAACATCACCTCACCACTATAACCTGACAGCGTGGCACATGAAACATCACCTCACCACTATAACCTGACAGTGTGGCACATGAAACATCACCTCACCACTATAACCTGACAGTGTGGCACATGAAACATCACCTCACCACTATAACCTGACAGTGTACTGTGGCACATGAAACATCACCTCACCACTATAACCTGACAGTGTGGCACATGAAACATCACCTTCACCACTATAACCTGACAGTGTGGCACATGAAACATCACCTCACCACTATAACCTGACAGCGTGGCACATGAAACATCACCTCACCACTATAACCTGACAGCGTGGCACATGAAACATCACCTCACCACTATAACCTGACAGTGTGGCACATGAAACATCACCTCACCACTATAACCTGACAGTGCGTGGCACATGAAACATCACTTCACCACTATAACCTGACAGCGTGGCACATGAAACATCACCTCACCACTATAACCTGACAGCTGTGGCACATGAAACATCACCTCACCACTATAACCTGACAGTGTACTGTGAAACATCACCTCAAACATAACCTGACAGCTGTGGCACATGAAACATCACCTCACCACTATAACCTGACAGTGTACTGTGGCACATGAAACATCACCTCACCACTATAACCTGACAGTGTACTGTGGCACATGAAACATCACCTCACCACTATAACCTGACAGCTGTGGCACATGAAACATCACCTCACCACTATAACCTGACAGTGTGGCACATGAAACATCACCTCACCACTATAACCTGACGGAGTGTGGCACATGAAACATCACCTCACCACTATAACCTGACAGTGTACTGTGGCGCATGAAATCATCACCTCACCACTATAACCTGACAGCGTGGCACATGAAACATCACCTCACCACTATAACCTGACAGCGTGGCACATGAAACATCACCTCACCACTATAACCTGACAGTGTACTGTGGCACATGAAACATCACCTCACCACTATAACCTGACAGCGTGGCACATGAAACATCACCTCACCACTATAACCTGACAGTGTGGCACATGAAACATCACCTCACCACTATAACCTGACAGCGTGGCACATGAAACATCACCTCACCACTATAACCTGACAGTGGCACTGTGGCACATGAACATCACCTCACCACTATAACCTGACAGTGTGTGTGGCACATGAAACATCACCTCACCACTATAACCTGACAGCGTGGCACATGAAACATCACCTCACCACTATAACCTGACAGCGTGGCACATGAATCACATCACCCTATAACCACTATAACCTGACAGTGTGACAGTGTGGCACATGAAACATCACCTCACCCTATAATAACCTGACAGTGTGCTGTGGCACATGAAACATCACCTCACCACTATAACCTGACAGTGTGGCACATGAAACATCACCTCACCACTATAACCTGACAGCGTGGCACATGAAACATCACCTCACCACTATAACCTGACAGCGTGGCACATGAAACATCACCTCACCACTATAACCTGACAGTGTGGCACATGAAACATCACCTCACCACTATAACCTGACAGTGTGGCACATGAAACATCACCTCACCACTATAACCTGACGGTGGCGTGGCACATGAAACATCACCTCACCACTATAACCTGACAGTGTGGCACATGTCACCACTGTGGCAGTGGCATTTTGTGGCACATGAAACATCACCTCACCACTATAACCTGACAGCGTGGCACATGAAACATCACCCGCACCACTATAACCTGACAGCGTGGCACATGAAACATCACCTCACCACTATAACCTGACAGCGTGGCACATGAAACATCACCTCACCACTATAACCTGACATGAGCGTGGCACATGAAACATCACCTCACCACTATAACCTGACACTGTGGCACATGAAACATCACCTCACCACTATAACCTGACAGCGTGGCACATGAAACATCACCTCACCACTATAACCTGACAGTGTGGCACATGAAACATCACCTCACCACTATAACCTGACAGCGTGGCACATGAAACATCACCTCACCACTATAACCTGACAGTGTGGCACATGAAACATCACCTCACCACTATAACCTGACAGCGTGGCACATGAAACATCACCTCACCACTATAACCTGACAGCGTGGCACATGAAACATCACCTCACCACTATAGCCTGACAGCGTGGCACATGAAACATCACCTCACCCGCATATACTAACAGTGTTGCGTTACTATTGTAGGTTGATCTG